AGTAGTTAATTCAGTGGTGATAATATATAAAAGAAAGATAGCATATAAGCATATAGTACAGGAAGAAAGAATTAGTTCCTAGAAAGAAAGATATGAAGCGATTTTAATCTCACAGTTTAAGTGGAGACAGAGAGTGTACACACCGACGCCTTTGTGATTGATTCTGAGCAATATCACCCACAGTCTCCAACCATTGGTTACGACAGTCACACGGACACCAACCTAGTAATCTTCATCTACCAACATGGCTCAGATTAGAAGTCAGTGACTTCAATGACTGATGACACGTTTTGGTTTGGCAGCCTTTAACTTTGTCCCATCCGTACGAAACATTAATCAAAATTACGGTGGATCTGCACAGTATATCTATCGAAAAAACTTTGTCAGCAAAAAACGAGAGATAAAGATTGTTTTTAACGCATGGTCAAAACGGTTCCAATACTGAACATATAGGACTGGATTTTAAATATTGGGGGGGGGGCAGGTTATATTTTTGATGTCGTGTAATGGTATGTTGATTATTGCTATTACTACTGAGTTCTTACTCGACCATTGCATGACGTCTATTATTGTAGTTACTTTTATGGGTGTTATGCCCCGATAAGAATAGTGAGTGTTAATTTTTGGTGTCCGTTTGTAGACCAATACTATAAGTATAATTTTATGGTATAATTGTTAATTAAATAAGCTATTCATATTCATGTCTCTCTTATAATAAGCTTCATTTTAAACTATGAACTGTTATTATACGATTTTCCATTCTTGAATTATTCCCTGTTTATTAATCACTACCTCCCACGTTCACAGCCACATTTGGCCAAATCTTTTACAAATGTTATTTTCTATTTTATGGTACGTTGTGGTCCGCTTTTTTGGTATATAAACCGAGTATGTTCGAAATACGTGATTCATATCGCAGAGGCTCGGATTGGTGTTCTGGACTTAACTGGCTGGGTTAGGCAGGAAGCAGGGCCAATCAGAACTCTCGGCTGCTCATACGTGTTTTACGTGTCTTTGGTCCGATCGACAATTCACTGCCCTCTAATCGGCGGTCACAACATATAGCAAGGGGATCAGTTCCTAATTCCATTCTTACTTGAATATCTTAATTAAATTGCTATAATTAAGAGAGATTTGTCTATATCAACCGTCACATCCTCCGAATATTTGGGTCTCTAACAGTACATATTTGTTATAACGATAAAATGAAACACATTTCTATTATATAGAGCGAATTAGTCCTTATAGTATTTCCGATATTCAGTATTTCGTGTGCATTAACTTTACTCATACCTTGTTTGATTTCACGTACTTGCGCATCTACTGTTGTAAAACACGACAGTAAATTGTTTACACCTATACTTTGTTGCTTAATTATAAATGATAGGGATGGAACGAGTTAGTGTTAGTAGTGGTGCCTTTTATGATGTAGATTAAACCATAAAGGCTGAGAGGATTTGTCATTCTAATTTATTTTTGGAGAGGTATAAAACGTTTCAAAACATCTATTCCGGTTACCTCATTCACTGTATTCCAACTAGGGATAGCGTAAGAAATGAAAATAACATTACCAATACTAGTGGAAAATCGAAGGATAAAAAAGTACGTAGAGAAGGTAGTCAGGGAACGAATAGCACAAAATGATACAATATTCAAAATTTGTACCGAGTTTTACCAAGTTTGCTTTTTCGAATGGTCTTGACGCATACCACCAACTAATAATTAACGTTATCCAGCTGACTTCAAGTACTCTATATTTATACATACTTGATAACAACTGGTAGTAAGTTCGTAAAAAGATATGCCTTGGTCTGATTATCATTGGCCCATTTTATCACGCCCTACTCATAGCGCACTAACGTTGTCGCTATCTTAAATTTTGAGCAGTATATGTTAGAATTAAGACCTAATGGGTTGTTTGAACTTCAGGACATTCTTAGAGGGAGCCGTAATGAGACAATAGATGCCGACAAATGACTTAGTATGATTGAAGGTGGGTAAGTTTAGTCCTCTCGTCGGATGTTCTTATACGACAACTTGTTTGTAGACTGCCAGGCCAGTCCTACTCGTCTTTATGGGGTGAGAATGAAGACAAAAGTAGACGTTCGACGTATATTCTGGATTGGTAGTTACAGAAATCCCTCATAGAGGAGCTAGGATTATCTTGATTCGGAACAAATTGTGTGCGTGGGCTGCAGGATTCTGAGAAGACAAGTGGCGTATGAACCTATTTTAGTCGCTGGCTACCGTGAAACTGCTACTCCTGACGTTCCCCTGCTGGTTTGTGGAGTAGGTTCAAGGTTCAGGGGATGGTCCTCTAAGAAAGCCATCTGTTTTGACCTGAGCGTTCTGCTAATATCCCGTTCATTTTAGATATTTATTTGAGCACCAAATACATATGCGCCATATAATAACAATCGAATTGTGAAAGAATCGTAATATAAAAAACAGATGAACAAATAAACAAACAATGAAGTATTGGAAGGATCCCTATTTTGGATATTTAGAATAATCACAATACTGAGAAACATTTTGCCAATTGAGTTCTTTTGTAAACTACCAAATCTGAGGTAGGGGTTTCGACGGTTGAAATGATGTCATTCATATGTACCCTGCACCGAATAATACATTTGTCATATATCAGCACCTACAAGTGACTCATGATGGATAGTCTCATATAAATGAGACATGTGAATATTGCTGCTAACCAAGACCAGGTATTGTCGACATCCCATCAAATAATTCATTTGTAAAGGTTGTATAATTCTTCTGCCTATTAATGTCTAATTGGAACTGATCAGTCTCACCATATTTGCATCCTGTGTAGATTGCCGTTGTATTGCCTATAATCCACTAGCATTTTGTGCAGAGTTGGATAGTGGATAGCAGTGGAATCCAGGACATGCGTTTCAACATATGCGATCTGATTCGCTCGTAAATAAACTGAGTATGTCTAAAATGCATGGTTCATACAGTGAAAGCTAGGATTGTGTTCTGGACCAAACGGAAAGGGCTGGGCTAGAAAGATCGATAAGGACCCCGAGGCTGCTTGTGCTGGTTAACGCGCCATTGTTTTGGCACAGGGCCACGGTCGTATAAGTCGGTGTTCTGATTATCGATCTCATCAATGTGATAAGTAACAGTGCAAGAGACATAACAAACTCAATATGCCAGAAAATGCTCGACAGCAGGAACCATCAGCACAGATAATGGATTACCACTGTGAACTTAGACATGATCATGAGAAGGAGAAGAAGAAAACAGCAGTTAACAGGAGCAAAGAAAACCGAAGCACACTGCGAGTATACGGAAGCGAACGATTGAGTGAAGGGGAGCATGAGGATTGACAATCAAAAATATGTAGAGAAACTGTCAATTACGGTCGAACAAGCAGCTAAGAAAGAAAACGCGAGAAGTATGCGATACATTCAGGAAGCTTGCAGGAACATGTGATAGACCAGAAAAACTAATCAAAAATAAGGAAGGAGCACCTCAGCATCGGCCTGAAGCTGAGAAATTGACTCAAGTTCATCAGTACAATTGGCATGGACTAATTTCATGCAGTTATACAAGCGGGTAACTCATCCATACATACCCTGGACAGTCTCAAAGAAGAAGCACGGCCATCCTTGTGTAGACAAGTGAAGAAATGTTGGAATGTTGCTATCAGCCTTAGCACGGCTGTTACGACAGAAAGTAAGAATAAATTTGAAGTGCTCCACTTGGAGACCAGTACTTAGTGGAGTACCTTCATTTTCTGTCCTAGGTCCTTTATTTCTTGTACGGTTTGTAAATGGTCTCCCAAGTAGAGTACAGTTGCCAATGTTATTGTACGCTGACGATATAAAAATCTGGCGAGTAATAAGCGGAGATGTAGATGCATGCGCAATTCAGGGAAACTTAACTAATGTGATTAACTGGTTCAACGAGTGGCTGATGCCTATCAACGCGGCAAAGTGTGTCTACATGCGCTTTGGGGATACAAAGGTTAACAGGTACGGTATGGGGGAAGTGCCAGTACCCGTGATCCGGTGTCATTAGGATCTAGGGATGACACTGAGTCATGATCTCAAGATGACGGTCCATTTCCTGGAGGTTGCAGCTAAGGGATTTAGAATCCGCTGGGCTTTAATACGGACATTCACTAAGTTAGCTACTAACATGTTCACTACAGTACACACATCTTTAGTAAGAACTTAGCTTGAGAACTGCGTTCAGGCTGCAAAACCCTGTTTAAACGATGACTCGGATATTCTGTAAAAATTACAGAGGGCAGATACCCATGCAATTCCAGAACTCCGGGTTTGCCATAAAAAGAGCGGCTTGAAGAACTGGACCTCTTTACTCTGTCATATCGCAGACTTAGGAGAGATTTAATTTTGATGTATAGAGTGATAAGAAATAATCTTGGACCTTATACATTCTCTTTTTCTTCCCACTAGATCGGAACATCTCAGAAGACATAGCAAGCTAGTAGAAAAGCTAAGAACGAACAAAATACCAGTGGCACACAGATTTTCACACTTAGTCATCAATACTTGGAAACTTTTACCCGTGGCAGTGGTGTCCAGACCTTCGATTGACTCATTCAAGAGAAGAATGAACACTCACGGAAGCCTAATAGAAAAGGAATAACTTAGGCCGTATGCCTTCTGTCCTTACTTCACAAATCTGTATCTGAAATAATCGTGATGAGGACAAAATGTATAAATGGGCTGAAAAAAATCCGAGAATGCAAAAGTCATTACCCGGTGAGCAAAAAACAAAAAGATAAAAATATGATGTTACAACGAGGAACAGATTCACAGTTTGTTGTTTGGTGTACCATATCATGTCGGGCTAACCATTAAATATGCCACAACCTTAAATGAGAGTACAAATATATCTGCATATCCAGCCATAAATTTTAGGATAAATAATGTAGAAAATCATGGCTGGATTCGCAGTATGATAATGACATATATAAGCTATTCTTTTTATGAGCTCTATAAATTGGACATCAAGCAGTCTGATCCTTTAAGGGTCAGTTAATATTAGCGGTCACTTAGGTTTGGCGTGCTTGTCAGCCATGGTGCAATCAGGAGCAAAAGCCAGAAGGACTGCCAGGAAAGGTGTTGCTACTCGTGAATATACAATTCATTTGCACAAACGCATTCATGGTGTTGGTTTCAAAAGACGAGCTCCTCGAGCTATTAAAGAAATAAAGATGTTTGCTAAAAAGATGATGGGCACTGAAGATGTTCGAATTGGTGTGCGGCTCAATCAGTAAGCTCATATAGTTGTTTTATTATATTTATATATATAGATTTATATGGTCCAAAGGTGTCCGAAATGTTCCATATCGTGTCCGCGTGAGGCTTGCGCGCAAAGCTAACAAGGATGCAGATAGTATACATAAGTTCTACACTTTGGTATCATTCGTGCCTTGTACTGATTTTAAAGGAAAGCAGATAATTAATGTTGAATCAGCAGAATAAGTCTTATAAATAAATTTATAGACTGGACTATTAGCTAATTGAATTTATTTCCTATATGTAGGGGGGGTGTAAGGAATAGACCCTTTCATTCCAATATGATAAAGCCGTATATCCTGTACTAAAACTTTACCTTAGGAGATTCGTAAAAAGGCGAGGTCTTGTGAATTCAGAATAATTCTGAAATCTCTGGAAAAGTATTTAGAAAGTTTTGTATAATATTCCTTTCCATTGTTGATTGAATCGTTTAGTTTCATCAAATACAGGATGGTCTGCGTAGTAGTTAAGTTAGATAGGTCTTTGTCAAGTTTAAGCGCCACCTAACTGGGATTGCACTTAGAAGCGTCGGTTTGAAGTGTATTGAAGTAGCAATATGAATCTTCGAGCCATTGACCAACTGCAATTTCTGCGAGTTGCTTTGTTCGTGTTTCGGGAATGGTTTGTCTTCAAATTTGGCCGATGTTTTTGCTGTTTGACAATAAAATATACTAATACATGATGTTCTAATAATTTTATGTTGGTAGCTACAGTTGCAAACTTTCCTTGTACCTACTTGAAGCTTGTCGACTTAAACCTTATGTCTCAATAAGAGTAAACATTATGAATACTAAGTTCCTTTCAGCAAATCCTTAACTTGATGACCATAGGTAGTTTGAACTTGCTTAACTATGCAGGTGTTCTCAAATCGTTGAGTTTCCCATATCTTGTCCAGCGGTGTCAGATAATTTTTTATCATGAGAACCGTCGTCTTCACGATTTGGTATAAGGAAGTTTCTTAGTATGATTGTAAATGCCAATCTTGCCTCTACTAATCCCCATCACGTGTGGGGCAATGCCGGTCTACCAAACAAATGGCGAGTGTACAGCAACGTAGTTTTCTCTGCTTCCTTCGGCGCATAAAGGTCTAGGAAGCACTCAAGCTGCAATCGTTTGATCATACAGTGGAACCAGCGGGTTGTTAATGATAAGAGATTGATCCTCATCTTCTGATTCTGTTAGGACGCGTTATGGTATTGTTGGATCACCTACTTGGATGTACGACGTCAAATATCACACGATGTCAGGAGTCTAGGAGTTATAAATATAAGGTCGGTCTGTTTAGTTATCTATTTGATTAGATACATGCCTTGCAAGACGAAGTACGCTCTCCGCTCCCGACTAATTGTAACCTATGGCTAGAGCCGTTCAATATCTGGGCTCATAACCAAGTATTGGTTCAATCGCTTTTTAAATCTTAAATTGCTTTTCCTAACTTAAAGTACTTTGGTGGCGTTTATCCTTTTCGAACTGTACTTATGTTTAGATCCCCATTGATCTCAGTGTAATTTTCCACAACAATCATCACACTGCCTACTCGGGGCGTGGCAACTTGAACCGTTTCTAAGTAGTGGCTGGTCTTAAGTTAGTAGTTGCTGATTACGTGGATGGTATAGTTTATCATCTAGTGATTCCACTAAATTAGTCAAAGCAGATTGGAACTGTTGTTGCGTTTGGTCAATGCAGACTGACGGTGGTTAAAATTGTAATCAGACAGAGGTTACGTGAAGCCTGGTGTATGTGATCGGGGTGATGTAATAAAATACCTCCTTAGATTAATAAGAATTAGGTTTTAAGTGATTTGTACAACTTGAACTGCGAACCAACTTGACTTCATCTGAAAATGGAGCGCAATGTATATGTTTTTAAACACCATTCTTATTAAAGCTATGTAACTAAGTAGTTCTGCGACTGGATTAATACTTACTTAAATCGGTTATTTCACAGACTTAGTTTCATTAATTGCTCTTACTGCCTTCTCTTCGTACTAGAATCATTTGTGATGGTCACAGTATGATTATAATTAATTTCATTAGTAATGCATATGGATTCTTCACACCCTCTTAACATCGCTAGCACAACAAGATGAACACCGGATTCATAGAAGTAAATAATTCAGTGGTGATAGCATATAAGGATATATTTCAGGAAGAAAGAATTAGTTCCTAGAAAGAAAGATATGAAGCGATTTTAATCTCACAGTTTAAGTGGAGACAGAGAGTGTACACACCGACGCCTTTGTGATTGATTCTGAGCAATATCACCCACAGTCTCCAACCATTGGTTACGACAGTCACACGGACACCAACCTAGTAATCTTCATCTACCAACATGGCTCAGATTAGAAGTCAGTGACTTCAATGACTGATGACACGTTTTGGTTTGGCAGCCTTTAACTTTGTCCCATCCGTACGAAACATTAATCAAAATTACGGTGGATCTGCACAGTATATCGATCGAAAAAACTTTGTCAGCAAAAAACGAGAGATAAAGATTGTTTTTAACGCATGGTCAAAACGGTTCCAATACTGAACATATAGGACTGGATTTTAAATATTGGGGGGGGGGCAGGTTATATTTTTGATGTCGTGTAATGGTATGTTGATTATTGCTATTACTACTGAGTTCTTACTCGACCATTGCATGACGTCTATTATTGTAGTTACTTTTATGGGTGTTATGCCCCGATAAGAATAGTGAGTGTTAATTTTTGGTGTCCGTTTGTAGACCAATACTATAAGTATAATTTTATGGTATAATTGTTAATTAAATAAGCTATTCATATTCATGTCTCTCTTATAATAAGCTTCATTTTAAACTATGAACTGTTATTATACGATTTTCCATTCTTGAATTATTCCCTGTTTATTAATCACTACCTCCCACGTTCACAGCCACATTTGGCCAAATTTTTTACAAATGTTATTTTCTATTTTATGGTACGTTGTGGTTCGCTTTTCTGGTATATAAACCGAGTATGTTCGAAATACGTGATTCATATCGCAGAGGCTCGGATTGGTGTTCTGGACTTAACTGGCTGGGTTAGGCAGGAAGCAGGGCCAATCAGAACTCTCGGCTGCTCATACGTGTTTTACGTGTCTTTGGTCCGATCGACAATTCACTGCCCTCTAATCGGCGGTCACAACATATAGCAAGGGGATCAGTTCCTAATTCCATTCTTACTTGAATATCTTAATTAAATTGCTATAATTAAGAGAGATTTGTCTATATCAACCGTCACATCCTCCGAATATTTGGGTCTCTAACAGTACATATTTGTTATAACGATAAAATGAAACACATTTCTATTATATAGAGCGAATTAGTCCTTATAGTATTTCCGATATTCAGTATTTCGTGTGCATTAACTTTACTCATACCTTGTTTGATTTCACGTACTTGCGCATCTACTGTTGTAAAACACGACAGTAAATTGTTTACACCTATACTTTGTTGCTTAATTATAAATGATAGGGATGGAACGAGTTAGTGTTAGTAGTGGTGCCTTTTATGATGTAGATTAAACCATAAAGGCTGAGAGGATTTGTCATTCTAATTTATTTTTGGAGAGGTATAAAACGTTTCAAAACATCTATTCCGGTTACCTCATTCACTGTATTCCAACTAGGGATAGCGTAAGAAATGAAAATAACATTACCAATACTAGTGGAAAATCGAAGGATAAAAAAGTACGTAGAGAAGGTAGTCAGGGAACGAATAGCACAAAATGATACAATATTCAAAATTTGTACCGAGTTTTACCAAGTTTGCTTTTTCGAATGGTCTTGACGCATACCACCAACTAATAATTAACGTTATCCAGCTGACTTCAAGTACTCTATATTTATACATACTTGATAACAACTGGTAGTAAGTTCGTAAAAAGATATGCCTTGGTCTGATTATCATTGGCCCATTTTATCACGCCCTACTCATAGCGCACTAACGTTGTCGCTATCTTAAATTTTGAGCAGTATATGTTAGAATTAAGACCTAATGGGTTGTTTGAACTTCAGGACATTCTTAGAGGGAGCCGTAATGAGACAATAGATGCCGACAAATGACTTAGTATGATTGAAGGTGGGTAAGTTTAGTCCTCTCGTCGGATGTTCTTATACGACAACTTGTTTGTAGACTGCCAGGCCAGTCCTACTCGTCTTTATGGGGTGAGAATGAAGACAAAAGTAGACGTTCGACGTATATTCTGGATTGGTAGTTACAGAAATCCCTCATAGAGGAGCTAGGATTATCTTGATTCGGAACAAATTGTGTGCGTGGGCTGCAGGATTCTGAGAAGACAAGTGGCGTATGAACCTATTTTAGTCGCTGGCTACCGTGAAACTGCTACTCCTGACGTTCCCCTGCTGGTTTGTGGAGTAGGTTCAAGGTTCAGGGGATGGTCCTCTAAGAAAGCCATCTGTTTTGACCTGAGCGTTCTGCTAATATCCCGTTCATTTTAGATATTTATTTGAGCACCAAATACATATGCGCCATATAATAACAATCGAATTGTGAAAGAATCGTAATATAAAAAACAGATGAACAAATAAACAAACAATGAAGTATTGGAAGGATCCCTATTTTGGATATTTAGAATAATCACAATACTGAGAAACATTTTGCCAATTGAGTTCTTTTGTAAACTACCAAATCTGAGGTAGGGGTTTCGACGGTTGAAATGATGTCATTCATATGTACCCTGCACCGAATAATACATTTGTCATATATCAGCACCTACAAGTGACTCATGATGGATAGTCTCATATAAATGAGACATGTGAATATTGCTGCTAACCAAGACCAGGTATTGTCGACATCCCATCAAATAATTCATTTGTAAAGGTTGTATAATTCTTCTGCCTATTAATGTCTAATTGGAACTGATCAGTCTCACCATATTTGCATCCTGTGTAGATTGCCGTTGTATTGCCTATAATCCACTAGCATTTTGTGCAGAGTTGGATAGTGGATAGCAGTGGAATCCAGGACATGCGTTTCAACATATGCGATCTGATTCGCTCGTAAATAAACTGAGTATGTCTAAAATGCATGGTTCATACAGTGAAAGCTAGGATTGTGTTCTGGACCAAACGGAAAGGGCTGGGCTAGAAAGATCGATAAGGACCCCGAGGCTGCTTGTGCTGGTTAACGCGCCATTGTTTTGGCACAGGGCCACGGTCGTATAAGTCGGTGTTCTGATTATCGATCTCATCAATGT